CCGCGCGTGCCTTGCGCGCGCGACAATCCTCGTCAGAGAAGGAGAAGGACGCGGCCATGCGCGGGTCACCCTTCTCGATTCGGATGCCCTCCGACGGCGCTCTAAGAGCGAACCTTGCCAGTTTTCTGCACATGCGGACATGCGCAAATCCCACAGCCCGCCTGCTGCGCGCCAACGCCAACGTGGGTTGCGCAACGCATGTCTGCACCTGAAATACATTCAAACATACATATTTGTATATATTATATGCATATGGGCTGCTAAATTATCTGATCGTCGACGCATGAAATGAGTGAACGGTTCTCTTGTGTGAGCATCTTGCGATCAGAAAATGATGTGTTTTTTTTTTTTTTTCATTGAATGCTCTGCATTGCGGTTTCGATTGCAGGTCGTCGTGGTCTGTCGCCTTGACATGTCCCGCGGTGCACTCCCGTGGCGCGTCCCCACCTTCATGCGCATTTCGGACTTATCCACTAAGGTTATATAGCGATAGGTGTTAAACACTTATTATAAGCCAGCTCGCTCGCATAATAAGTACTGATACGTACTAAGTTAGGTCGAAAGTTAAGCCATTCTTAAGTCAGAACTGACTCGAAGTTACGCGCATGCTAATAAGGCCTTTAGTGCCCCCCCTGGCTGCATCGAAAGTTGCAAAAGGTATATCGAAATAAAACGGCGACGCCGGTCGAGCGCATTTTGAACCGCGTTTTCGGCGAAACTCTGGAGGTGGCCGGGGCCAGGGGCATGCCGAAGGAGCGGCGACGCCATCCGAGCGTGCCCCATGGGCCCTTGGAAAATTTCCCCATGTTGCTTGCTCGCGCACTACGTGCGTGATGCAATGTGATGCGCCATGGTTTGTTCTTTGGTTTGGGGGGTTACGGCGGAGGCGGGGGAGGTTCATGCAATGGCCAATGTGCCAACCCGCCAGGCCCGTCGCCGTGGGCCCCGCCGCCGAGCCGTGGAGCGGCACGGCGGCGGGGCGTGAGTGTTTTTTGGGGTCCTCTGGCGGTCGCGCTGGCAGTCGGCGACAGGGGCAGCGCGGGTCTGAGTCTTGTGGGCGTGCCACGGGTGCCCTCGCAAGGAGGGCGGCGGTTCGGGGGCGGAGGAGGACGGAGGATATTCTGTGTTTTCTGTTTGGATGCCCCCTGTGTGTATGCATGTGCACATACATGTGCCGATATATCTATATATAGATAAAATGCGTGTATCCTTATCCTGGCAGGGGAAAGGATCGCCCGCTCGCTGGCCGATCGCGGGCCCCCCAGGCGCCCGCCAGGCGCCCTCCTTCGGCCCCCCCCCCACGCCAGTCAGCCAGCCAGGACCAGTGGCGCTGGTGACAGTGACAGAAGGGCAGGAGGGGAAGGAAAAGGGGGGCAGGTCGCGCGCTTCGCGGCTCCACGGCTCCACCGACAGCCGCAGCGGTTCGCGCGTTCCCCACGCGTTTCGCGGCTAGGGGGCTCAATCGAGTTCATTCTGCAGCGGCTGGCCGTCGTCAGACAAATTGGCCCCCGTGGCCAGGGGGGGCTCTCCACGTCGGGATGGGGAATTTGGAAGACATGTAAACGATTAGCGCAACCCTACCAGACCATCCAGAAACGATGCCCAGAGGAATTGCCGCGATCAGGGAAGTGGGCAACGCGCAATGAAAGGAAGGGTCCCCCAGTGGAGGCCTCTTGGAGCGTTTTGGGAGCCGCTCGGTCCTGGACGCCAACAGCGCATTGGGTGCCTCGGAAAGCTGCTTGGGGCTTTCTTGGGGTCTCTTGGGGAGCGTTTTGGAAGCTTCTTGGGCGCTTGCGGGGCCACCCAGCGCCTCCTGGGCGCCTCGCGGGGCTCTCTTGGAGCGCTCTCGGGGGCCTTGGGGCCGCTCTCGGGGCCATCTTGGAGGACAACGAGAGGGGGGCATTACTTAGCGCTGCCTTTCGGGCGCTCCTGGGGCGCTCTTCGAGCACTCTCGGGTGCTCTTGGGGCAGTCTCTGGGCCCTCTTGAGTTTCTATTGCGGCCCTCTTGGGCCATGTTGGAGTAAACGCGTCGGATGGCCATCGGACGTGCAAAGGCGAGAAAGCCAAACACAGTGATTGCCCGATGGCTTTGGAAGGATGTTGGCCTCTTCGGGGCCTCCTGGGGGAGCTATTTGGCCACTTGGGGCCGTCTTGGAGCGGTCTTGGGGGCATTTGGGAGCCAGTGTGGGACATTTCGGGGAATATTGAGCCATCTTGGAGGCCATCGCGGGCTCTCCCAGGCGCTCAGCAGCCATCTTAATCAGCGCCCCCCCCCCCCCCCCCCCCCCCCCCTCCCCAAGAG